GCTCCAGCACCTCAATGTCTTTCTTGTAGTGAGGGGCCCAAAACTGAACGCAGTATTTGAGGTGCGGCCTCACCAGTGCCGAGTACAGGGGCACGATCACTTCCCTACTCCTGCTGGCCACATTATTTCTGATACAGGCCAGGATGCCATTGGCCTTCTTGGCCGCCTGGGCACACTGCCCACTCATGTTCAGCTGGGTGACCAACACCCCCAGGTCCTTATCTGCCAGGCAGCTTTCCAGCCACTCTTCCCTGAGCCTGCAGGGTTGCATGGGGTTGTTGTGACCCAAGTGCAGGATCCAGCACTTGGCCTTGTTGAATCTCATACAATTGGCCTCAGCCCGTCGATCCAGCCTGTCCAGGTCCCTCTGCAGAGCCTTCCTACCCTCAAGCAGATCAACACTCCTGCCCAACTTGGTGTCATCTGCAAACTTACTGAGGGTGCACTTGATCCCCTTGAGGATCTACTGCTCTTTCCCTTTGCACTCTCTCAACCTGCAGCCTCTGTTGCAATGCTGTGTGCTGGTGGTGTGGGAGGAAGATGAGCACTACTCAAAGCACCTTTGGCAACATACTGTTTTTTAAAAAGCTTTTGGGGTGGAGTATCTCCCCAAATCCAATTATGTAAAGCAAAGCATGTTCTAGGTACTGTGTTGCCAAAGCTGCTGCTCAGCCAGTGAGCAACTGCACACCTACACTCAATTGTCTGGCCACTGATTCACACCAGTAGCAAGGTGGATCCCTCATACACCTTCACAACTATGTGCTTGCTGGGGCAGTTGCAGTGTTAAACTGTCTCATGTACTAAAAAAGAGGTTGCAATTTGGGTTTTTTTTGCCTTCTCTAGCCATACCATCACATGCTCAGAAAGATGTCAAATGTAACACAAATGGCACATGAATGGTGTCAGCCTCTGACCTATTAAAACAGAATCAGCAACCATTTGCTTTTCTGACTGAAAAACTTACTGTGGCATGGGCAGTTGCATCAGACAAACATGTCTGATGTCTTATGTGGTCATAATCTAGACTTACTCTAAACCTGTTTGGAATTAACTTCAAGATGTTGCAAAATGTTATTTGATGCATTTTGCAAAGCACAGATAGGAATGTGCATCTGAGGAAAATGAAGAATGGTAGTAGTTCCTATAGATAGTACAGCCTTCCAGAACTGAAGCAGGAGAATGAAACATTGCATGGAATGTCATGGAAACTGGTCTGCACAAAAGAAGTAGGTTCACGTCCTAATTACTGTCTTGCGGAAACAGATTCTGCCAGTTCCTTTGTGGGCCATCTAGCCCTCTCTTTGCCTGCTGGGGAAGAAGGTGCAGAACTTCTATAAATGTTTCTCCACTAATTTAGGCCTAAACATGGGGGGTTTGTTTGTTTTTTAACAAGTACTACTCTGTTGCTGAGCAGCCTCATACTTCACTTTTTGCTTCCACTAAACCTGCTGCCAGATGAGGGCTGGGTGTGCGGGGTGTGGCTTAATATTAAATGCAGAAGAAGCGGTATCCCAAACAACCATGTATGCTGGGGATCAGAGTCCTTTCACTCTCTTCAGCTTTCAGAACAAAGCAGCAGTGTTTATGAGATCACATAAAATTTCAAGCCAGTTAAAAATACAGTTCCTAGAGATTACTCTAGAACTAGATATTTTATTAATTTATATTGTTACATAAACATTCCAGAGAATGCAACTTAGTTTTCCCATGGTAGTTTTACTCTGCAATACTTGCCTTTTCTCTAATAATCTGTTTGCACATGTTCACTTCTCTCTTTGAAAATCTGTTTTTGCGGAAGTATCAGTTTTGGCTTTTGCATTTTTCCACTGACTCTCGTCTTTCCTCTTAAGGGAACTATTCATCCTCCTCTTTCTGCCAAAATGCAGTGATTGGCAGCAGTGCTGAATTTTTTTAGAGTACCTTTTTAGTTACAGCCATAGCTATGCAGCCAGATTTATAAAGCTATTGGGATAGTGACACAATCATATTTTTAATGGGAAAATAAACAAGCTAAGGCACAGGTTTTATGGCTCACCACATTAAATAGCCAAACTTCTGAAGTTTCTCATTTTAACTCATCCTAAAACTGTCTACACTCACCACTAATGCAAGTTATCTATCACCTTCCTTATCACTATGAAAATAGTGTTTTTGGAGCTTGCTGGCAGAGATCATTCTTAGAAAATGATCATCCTGTTGTTGGTATATCTTCAGATCTGGGCTGACGTTTCAAACATCCCATCCCATTTTCTGGAACAAGCAGACCACACCATTTTCCAAAATTAATCCAAAGATGATGGCCAACCAAGGGAGCATTCGGTTCAAGTTCAATGTAACTGCAAAAGAAAACAGAACAAATTTATCACCATTTAAGAAGATCATAGAAACCATGTGAGAAGTCATATTAATTTGTATTTATAAGAAATCACACAAATCTGTTAAAGTCTGCATTCCAAAGCCATGCATAAAATTAACATGAAATTTTCATCTTCCAGACACACAAAAAAATTCTGCTTTATGTTTCAATCATCCACTATGAGTTGTCTCAAATGCTGATGGATCTGATAGCTGTAATACAGCATATACAAAGAGATGATGGTGAGATAAGAGGTGCTTTTTCTTTTTTTAAGTGTTCTGTTTCATTCACTTTCTATTAGAGTCTAAGTAACACAGTTTTAAGCTAAAGCTATTTCAGTCACATATCTGATGCTGATTAAAAAATATAACAGCAATAATAATGACTTCTGTAACAGCTGCATTATCTCACACACATTCTGTACACATAATGTAGTAATAAAAAAGCAAAAACATACCTCTAATTGCCTGAGAGTTTGATATCAAGACAAATACTTTTATAAACGCAAGGCACAAAGGCGTGTAGTCATGTTCCCAAATAACAGCTGGAATTAGCAAAAGCTTTCCATAGGTGGACAACAGAAGTGCTTTGAGAAGTAAAATGAAGTCAGATTTTGTTTTCAGCATCTCAGGTCTCATCCACCGTAAGGTAATAAAAATGCCAAACAAAAATGAAGTTTGTTCTAAGAGGAAATAAGGAGTTGGAAAGAGAGAATGAAGTGCCAAAATCAAGTCCTTTTTACAATGAATTTCAGTGAAATGGTATGTCCTAAATGCAACTGAGCCACTGCTATTTAAAAGACAGGCAAACATGAACATGTCCTCCATCTCCTGTGTTCGTTCATGACATTCAAAATAATTCTATCACAGAATTCTGTCTGTAGGATTGTCATACTCATAATTTCTGACACCGTACAGCAGAGGAAGTTTAGCATATGAACTTCCTTTACTTTTCCTTTTTAACAAAATGAGAGGGTTTTTTTCAACTATCTGTTAGCCTGTAAACCAAAATCAATACTTGTCTTTTTTGAAAAGGTCACCAGCAATGAACCCTTTCCATCCAGCATGAGAAAGAACACTAAGGCGAAAATATCATTGAGCTATTAGACTTTTTTTGACACCGTATCCCTGCGTAACACTGGTATTAATGCAGATGTCAAAGCAACTCTCACGACAACTGTAATAGATGAATTACTACTGAAAAACGAGTTCCAACATTTTTACTCACCTGTTTCAAAAGCCTACTTAGAGCAACACTAGACAATAAATGACTGAAGTTAAACTCTGAATGTCTAAAGGAAATACTAGTTGTAGTCTGCGGGTTTGATTTAAACTCTATCACCAGAAAAAAAATGAGACTAAAACTATTAACCAAAATAAAACAAAAACCCTCCCCTGCCTTCAAATTTAGTCTTGCAGTAAATACAGAAGTATTTACTCTTTACCAGTGATGACACTGCTCTGTATCTTTGTGTATTCACGTAACAAAAAAACAGATACAGCTTTTCCTGATTATCGTTTACTTCTGTAAGGATCATCCTTAATGTTGCATCACCTTAATGAATAATAAACCTTGGAGTCAACATGAAATATGGAATAAGGCTGAGCTCTACATTTGTCTTCAAAACTATGTAAATGGATTCAGACGAAGATTTCTGAATATTGCCACTATTCAGTGTTTTGGTATCTAATGCTTATCCTATCAGTCTGAATGGTAATCAGGATTGAAATATGCATTTGCATTAAATGAAGGCAAATGAGAGAGTATGTGTATAATTGTTTAACCACACTGGGTAGGACATGACATCCATTCTGTATTAATTTTTGCAATACAGGCTTGATGAAAGACTCATGAAGTTATTCAGTGCTTAAAGAGTAAATAGTTACATGAACTAATCATCAATCTTACCTAAAGAAGCTATACCAAACATTCTATAAAAATCCCATTCCTTGGCATATCTGATTAAGTCATCAGGATCTATATTTTGGCTTGAATCCTGTAGCTGCAACCACCTGAGGTAAGCCTCACAGAGCAAACAAAATATGCAGAGCTTCCCATGAATCTGGTAAATGAAAGAATAATAAAAGCATTAGTATTAAATCAGCATAAATTAAAGTATTAGTATTAAATTGGTATTTAAAATACATTTCTACAACTCCACACAAATAAGCTCTGTAGGTTTATTATTTTTGTTTAGAAATAGAAGCAAATTACTTCTGTTGAGACAGTACTTTAGCACATCATCCTTTTAACATAAATTAACGTGATAAGCCAATTAGAGAAGGTAGGAAACTGCATGAACGGTTCCATACAGAAGAAAGCATATAACTGTAGTTTGTAAAGCCTGCTCTAAACTTCTTTTTAATTGGGAAGGGTGTTTCAGTTAGGAATATAAAAACAAAATTGTGCCATAGCTAGCAGAACTATACTATCAAAAATTTTAGTTTCAGGGCAACTACTCCCTTCAGTGAACTGGTTTAAATAGCCTTGTTTCTGTTTTTCCCTGGGACAATCTCCATTAGAAGAAACTGGTAGTGTAGTTATACCAAAAACATTTCTTAGTTCAGATAAGGGTGTAGAACCAAAAATAAATGGAGCAATGTTACTAAACAAAACTTAAAAGTATCCTCTGAAGCGACTGCAAAAATGATGTCGTGAGGGTCCATAGTTAGCATGTTTCCACATTAAACAGTCTGTAAGCCAATGTTTATGTGGGATGAATTCTGGTTTTATACAGATTTAAACAAACCAATGCAATTTCTGTGCGTGGATTCTACTTTTTCCATTAGAGACTAGTTATGCCAATTGCACACACACGCACAAGCTAAGCCAGTTTAAAATTCAACTCAATTTATTTGAATAGATGAAATTTCCACAGATGGAATAGTTCTTCCAGAAGCCCCATGGAAAACATCATTACCAGTCTCCAGAAGCATTGAATTAATTAAAAACCTTCCGTCAGATTTATGCTTGAAAGGTGAGGTGAGTGTATCTATCTACGTTGCTTAACACTGGACTGGCCAAGAGGTATCAACATGAACACAGCATACGCTTACGCTTGGATAGTTTGCTCTAGATTAGCTTACCTCTCCTGGGAAATCAATCCTTAAAGTAAAAATATGCAATTCTGTCAGAAAAGCTACAGCTCTACACTCCACCCGGGCCAGCACAACTAAGTTGACTTACGTAACTCTGCATCAACAACGCTTCATGTGAAAGCCACTATCTTTTGCTATAGTTTTGAGGACATGGTTAATTACTCAGGAGGAAACTTGTGAGAAATTAGTACAGTAGGTTTAATTGGCATAATTGTTAATATGGTATGTTATACTACTATAGCTCATTTCAAAAAGAACTGTTACCAACAGAAATTTAAGTTGGAAATGAACTTGAAATTAGACCTTCCTCTTCCAATGAGTCCAGTTAGGACTCTCTCTTTTACATGCAGGATGACTGCTCTATTTGCTGGTATTGTGGTATCGCTTACTGGGGAGACAGTAACTTTCTTAGTAACAGCTGGAGTTTGAGATTTCATGTGTTCTATTCACAATATTAGACCCTTAACCTGTTCAAGAACAAAACTGATTCAGCTTGATGGACCCTGTGGAAGGACAGAACAGTTTCTAAAATTTTACAACTATTACAATCAACTTACCAAACCTAAATATATCTTTAACCAAAAAAAAAAAAGTCACAGGGTAGGGGCATAGCAACTTACGTTTATCTTTGTATTGAAAAGAATGTGCCTGTAGGCTTGTGCTTTACATAAAACAGCATTAATCAAGATGATAACAGGATCATACTCAATGTATTTGTCCACAGGTTTCTGGCAGGATTTCTGAAAGTCACAAAATAACAAGAATTAGAAGAAAAAAAAGAAAAAGAAAGCAAACGTTTATTAAATGTTCCTCTACGCTTAGCACAATTACAGAAATCCAAAGTAGCTATTCAATTCTTATTAGTCTTTCCTTAATGTAATCTTAATTTTCAATAGGTTTTTAATCCATCCAGAAAAATTGCTTCCCCCCCTTTACGCTACAGTTGACACAAGGATTTCCCATACAAAACATAAAGATACATTATTGTTTTTTATAGGCTTCAGATTAACACAGATAATAAACTATGCAAGGATGTCCTTGCATCCTACAGATGCAAAAAACCCCAAACTGCCTTCCCAACACTGAAGAAATACACCACTATCTTGTTAAAGGTTATCTGATCATGGCCCGTCTACTGGGTATTTTGGGAATTTTTTTTGGTATTTTTTGGAAAGAAAATGAATTTCTTTTATCACTTCCTTCTTTTAAAAGAGACGCTTTATCCTCCTATCCTACCTTTTTCCTTCTTTCAAGAAAAAAAATAAATGTTTCTTCCTGTTGCATTGGTCTTCCATACTGGTAAGTAGTCCAGATGTTTCAATTAATTTTCCATTACTGAACAAACACCAATATATTTAGAATACTGATAATGTAGTTTTCACACACAGATATAGCCAAAGAGTCGGAAGTTGCTACTGAACAGTGGTAAGACACTAGACCGTTACTTCTCCAATACATCTGCTGGTTCCCGCTGTGCCTACTAGAGAGGTTATCTCACCCAGACCACTGGGAACTGCTTGTCATCAACCCCCTTCGGATTTATTGACTTACCTGCATGGGTGGTCACTCCTTGACTTGAGTTAAACAAGAAAGGCTAACAGAAGGCGATTATACTAACTGTGAACAGGATGGTTCAGTAAGTGTCTTACAAAAGGCTCCTCTAGCAGACCTGAGGGGGAAGTAACTTCTAGCAGAGAGCTGAGGAGCAGCAGCAGTTGATCGCAGCAACCCCTTCAGCTCAAACAAGTGCACTTGCAGAAGGGTGCTCGCCTGCAGGTCAGCTTTCTCCTGCTGCCGGTCCTCCAGTTCAGCTACTTGTTTCCTCCAACCCGTCCTCAGCTAATCCCACTCCCCTGGGCCTTCACATTAGCTGCTGTGCTCAGAGTACAACAGCCACAGAGACAATCTCCATTTCCATTTTAATGAGTGCATGGCTGTGCGCTGCCGGAAGAGAAATCTATGCACACAGCTTTCTGAAATGCTGTAACGGTCAAAAATGCAGCATTTGACAACATGCACCTACAGACAAACTCCCGGGAAAGAACAAAAAGTTTTTTTCAATTTTATAGGGATTCCTTGTGTCCAAAGTTAACTTTGCCTTGCTATTTACCAGATCTATTATTGGAGAATTTGAGAAGCAAAATTTCACTAGCAAACTGAGTCAAAAGTCCCATATCCGTATCAAGAAAAACATCCAAACAAATATGTAAGTTGAATAGAGTGTCTAAGGAATGTTCCTACCACTAATCAGTGTTTCTTGGTCCAGCTCAAGAAAAAAGCCCAACAAACTCATTTGGATTAGAAAAGAAAATACTGTGTATGACAGTACACAAGTTAGAGGTAATGAATTCAAAAATTGACTCAATTAACCAACAGTTTGACAGGTCTAAAATTAAAGCGAGAGAGATGGAAGAAAGGACATAATTAACAGAAGACCACAGCTACAGCATTTAATAGAGTGAAAAAGAAATTGCAACTATAATTAAAGGCAGATGTCTCGCTTCATTTCTTTCTACAGGGAAATCGTGAACAGATATTCTTATAGGTGGTGATTTACATATGTCAAATCTCCTGGTTGATGTAGCACAGGAAAACTCCATTTTTTTTAATAGGCTTATTCACACAAGCACTGGACAAGTACAAACAAAAGAAGACCATTCTTGAACACAATGGGTGTCATAAAGGTTAGATGAAGGATATCCTACATTCCCCAGGATTTATTATGCTCTCAAGTTTTCCTACAACAGAACATTTTTTGACCAGGGTCAAAAATCTCTCTGAGAAGAGTAAAGAATGATCTTTCCAAGCGGAGGTTCCCAACCAAACACCAATCAAAAAATTTGCAGTTAAGAGGTACTCAAAAATTTTCACGGGCAGCTGACATGAATTTTAGATAATTAAAATATATCAGACCAACCCTCCAGGCAAAACCAACGATACAGAAATTCTACTGCAGATATATAAGGAGACTGCTACAAATGAATACACAAATAGTGGTGTTGCCCATAAGAATGGGTCTTCTCCTCCACAGCTTCTGGTAGCCACAACCAAATCTTCTGCAGCTGTGGGAATGGTGTTTAATTCAGTATTTCAACATACCACCACCAAATATGTAAGAATCCTATTTCTCTTGTGTTACTTTAACAGGAAAAGAAAATCTGCCATATCACAAAAGAGCAGCCAACTTCAAGGACTTTTCACACACAGACACACGTACATATTCATGTCTGCCTGTCTTCTAGAGCTAGGTGAAAGCCCTATTCTTAATATTTCCATTTGAGTCTCAACTGTATGAAAGAAAAGTCCTTTGTGCTTACCCAGCCAGTGACCTAGCCAGCCTGAGTTCACTCAGGGACTTGTGAGACCTGCAAAGCACCTTACTGCAGAAGGCTTGCGTGTCCACTGTCATAGGCTAATTGGACAAAATGAAGATGACGCTTGCTATGCCACGAGAACATTACAGAATTAATAGACCCTCTAGGATGAAATTTTCTCCATACCTGGCTTTTTTGTTATTTTTTCCAGCTGCACTACTAAAACATCTGACAATAACCTTAAATGCCTAGGAAGCAAACTTGTGACTAGAGCCTGCCTTCAGCAAAATCAATGCAAGCAAGGGTTAAAGCAGTTTAAGTACACATAGGTTTAACTAGATAGCTTTATCTCGTTAAAGTGATGTCACTTTACGGACATCGATAATCACTAACACTTTCAGAGAAGATCCGTGTGAGCAGCTCAACTATGGAGAACTGCTTGCACACTTACTTTTAAGATTTTAGTCAGGCAGTTTAGAGTGAACTACACTACTGGCGCTCACGTCTCATTCCCAACTGCAGTTCTGCACAGCTGTGGTCAGCGGCCTGTTCAGCACGACTGAAGGCAGAACATCTTTAACAAAACTGAGCTTTTTCAATCTTCTTTAGGCTTTCTCGAAGAAACGCCTCAGTTACCATAACCAGTTCTAAAACGAGAGCAAGAAGTAACTGGATTTCTCTATGTTTTTAACCAGTTCTTCATTTCTTCCTTAAATATGTAACTAACATCAGAAACAGGAAGTAACTGGTATCTTTCCTTGAAAAAATAGACATTACTTTGATTAAAAGGTACTTTCAGATTATGTTGCAGAAGAGAAAGGTCAAGCTTGACACCATAAATTCTATTTACACATCTTCTTCTAAATTGGTAAATTTAAGGAAAATTACTAATGTTTGATACTGACACACAGAAGTCCAATAGATACTGTAAAAAGTCCTAAAAAAACCCCTAAAAAAGGGTGTTGAATGTATTTCAATATTCTAGTGAATTTAAATTGATATTAGTCTAGGAATTGTTTGACTAGGCAAATATTTAGGAATATTTGACTATGCTTGTCTGTTGTTTCAGAAAAAAAAAAGGCTTCCATTTTCATAACTTAGAAATTTGCATACTGATCTTAAAAAAAAATATTTTTAAAAAATGAGCAAAGGCAGCTTTAAGAAAAAAAGAAATCTTCAAAAGCTAGTACAACCATGTTCTTCATAGTGTAGTGTATCAGATTCTTTCTGATCAAAGCAATCCAAAACAGTTAAGGAAAGTAACATATGTTTTAACATCTCAGTTGTATTAAATAAGACAAAAGAAGTACTAAAATGTTAGCTGTGACTGCACGTTTATCAGCCTTTTATAAAACTTTATTCAAAAGACATACCTCTTCTTTGTTCATCAAAGATACTCAGCTCCAAACACAGTTCACAGACGTATGCCAAATACAATACAGTGTACAAATATATGAGGAAATACCTACTATCGCTGAAGGGCAAAGTTCCTAAAGTATACGAAGATGACTTTTTTAGAGTGCTCTCTCCAACATTAAAACATAACTGAATTTTTAAGTAGAAGTATTTTGGGATGGGGGTGGTAGAAGGGAAAAACATTCTTGAAGAGGAAGCCATAGGACACTACAGAGAATAAAAAATATACATTGAATAACCAGGCTTCATCCTGAACTAAAAATAACATGAAAACGACACCAGGAATACGTTTGCAAATCTCTGGATATTAGAAAAACCAGTGAAACAGTCTCATTTTAGTATTCCTCTCTCCAGGGATTGGAGTTTGGCAAAATTAAGCTACAATTTTTTGCTGGACTACATATACAGCAGATTTTAACAACATTTACATAGCTTCAACATGAACATAGGTACATTTACATAGGTTCATAGGGCAAATTCGTATGGACCCATGATCTTGCAGGAGCACCCTTAATCCCACTTGCACCCTTAAACAATAAAATGTAATTAGCTGTGCTGCTTTCAGGATTGGGTTCTTTATTAGGGATGCGGCAAAGTGTCATAACAAGCTGAAAAACAAAACAGCCCAGTTTCAGATGCACTCAATTTCAGAAAGCTGAAATTAAAAATATTGTTTTATAATTTTTCCTATACGATACGTTTTCCAGTAGTGAGTTGGCCTGTAGACTGAGTTATGTAAATAAGAAAAATAACATCCTTTATTTTCCAGGATGATCTTTGTACTCTTGACAGATTCTTTACCTTACCACATAAATGCTTTGCATTCAAAGCATTTACAGTCTCTCTGCCTTGCTGCAATAAAAGAGCTTTTCAATTATTTTTTAATTGCAGAAAAGCTAAATGAAGTGTGCACTGCTTAGGCAATTTGGCTTTCTTATTACAAAACACAAGGCAGATCCTGACTGAGCTCTACATATTGCAATGAATAACTTCTTTTCCTTTGTTAGGGTCTGGAACGATTAACATTTTTGAAACTGTATTTTTAAACACAACAACATATATGTAATTTTAAACCAAATTTTTAAAAATTGCATGTTTTTCCTTCTATTTTTGAATAAGTCAAGTTTGCTAATTTGCTTTTATAGTCATTGCACGTTGACTGCAGAATTTATTCCAGGTTAGCCGAATGTGTTTTTTTTCCCCCCTATAGCATTAATACTGTAGCGGCAATGTTATCTGAACAGTATTTTTTGTTACTGTTGTTAATGGTTGGTTCGTAATATATTCAGCTGTATTACTTACAGATCATTTAAGTTTTAAGGATCTCAAAATAATTAGCAAAAATCTCCTCTATAAAGAACGACCTAGGCTTACTTTCACCATCACTTCTGGTTCGGAACAGGGAAAACGCCAGCACGTTCACAGCACAGGACTAGAACTAGACCCGTGAGTTGCAAAGCAACCACCAGAAGTCACCTTCGTCGGAAGCAATCCTAACACGCCTGCACCACCACCCCCCCCGCCACCCCCCAGTTATCACACTGAAGAAAAAACACATTGAACAGGTCTCCCCAAGGAGGTGAACTTCCTCAGAATTTTATTATCCATTTTTAAATACCTTTAAGTTCTTTTTAAAGAGCGATAGTCCACCTGTCTCTTGTAATGGCATTTCCACAGCAAAATATATGCAGGATGAGAAAAAGGTTCATTCACTAAATGCAAATCTCAAGCAAGAAGGAATGCGCGATACCAGAGGTCTGGGCTAGGCTTCTGCTGAAACTGGCCTTGATTAAACAAAACAGATTAAAAAAAAGTTACAGAACTTCA